AAAGGATGGAAGGATGACTTGACTTTCTTGCAGACTCACGTACCCGTATGGATCCGATATAAATTTATTCTGGATAAAGCAATTCTTGAGGCGCATAATCTGTTCACACATCATTAAGAGCGCAATATTCACCTATCATTTTTTGGAAGCTTAGCACACCTTAAGAATAGATGATACAAAAAAGGGAGCCGCGCATGTTAGTACAAGCAAGTGTTATGTATTAATTGCTATTATTGTCAAGCTTAAGTTTTGCTTACTATATTACTATTTTTGTTTTGATCTGTAATTGAAGTTCTTAATTTTTTTTTTCTTTAGTTGTTTAAAGTTGATTGTAAGTTTAAACTGTAACTTCTGTAAAATTTAAAATTTAGGTTTGTTTGCTTTAAAAGTTTTCTCAAGTTGAAGTTGTTTAGTTTTTAATTTGATTTTAGGGACTTAAGTTTACTTGGTTTTGTACTTTTGTTTTGACCTTTAAGGTTGTTTAACTTTTAACTTTAATTATTTTAAAGTTTTGTTTGCTGCACTTTTAGTGTCTTAATTTTTTTAACTTAACTTAATTTTTACCCCTCTTTCTATTAAAGTTGTCGAATACATATTTTCTGACTGGTGGTAAGGTAAATCAATAGTAATTGAAATTCAATCTGGTTAATGAGTGTGTATACTTAAAATACTGCTGAAGAAACAATTTATATAGTGCTGACATTTTTTATGAATTATATTGTTATGTAATAGTTTAATTTTTAGTGTCCCAAATTCGTTTGTGTTGAATAACATTTCGCTGGTTCTGAAAATTTTCACATGCCAACCGTCGGCTTGGAATTCATTCTCAGAATCCCTTATCAGAGGATTACTGCTCCCCGAAATTCTTTCGCCCAAGCGAAAAAACACATGTAATGTTTCCACCACATGTCGGATGACGTGTTGGATGTTTACACTATCTGGAGTTTTACTTAACAGGACCCCGGTTGCTGTGACATCGCTAGCAGGGAAAGGTTCTATAGCGAATTTGTGAGGAGGGGGAAATAATCGTTGGATAGGAAGTTCTACATGGTCGAGTTGCGCCTCGATTTGAAGCTAATGCCACCCTTGTTTTCGTCTGCGGAGAGTGTTGACGCAGAGGAGTGGTCTTGGAGGCCGAATGGTTAAACTGCGCTGACTGGCTCTTCTGATAGTCGAGAAACCCCTTCCCGTGAAGATTTCTCTGTTTGGGTTGCTGGACTTGGCTTCTTGCTGATCACTTTCTTCGCCAAAAAACGTTATTAACATTTATTAGCTTACAAACTAACGTCTTATACAATCATTATTTGACTCTATCTGTATACCTGCGTTTAAAAAACTTACACTTACATTAAACAAAATATTCATGCTAATGTCAGCTCTGTATATATCGATAGACATTATACTTGTAGGATAGCTCATTTAACCAATTATTCAAATTTTTGTTATCTTTTCTGAACTCCTCAACTTCCCCTCACATTTTCTCGTCAGGATGCTAATTTAAAGTTAAACGAAGAGAGCATTGAAACGGGTGATTCTTGAAGTTTATTCAGAGCGTGTTACGAATCTCTCCTTGCTGTTACGCGGAGTTGCTGATGCCCCTTTTGGGCCATTTAAATAATTATCACGTTGGATAGGTTGTCAAGTCAACCTAGTGAGCCGTAACTTAAAGTGTTAGTCCAGCACTGCTCTTTAGCTTTGAATCGATTTAGGTAATAACGCTTAAGTTCCACTGCAATTTGCCGGTGTTAATGTAAAACACGAAGTACGTGCCTTTCTGTTCATAGTTGATAATAATAAATGTTATTTTTACCCTTCTTCTGTATTGTTATCATTTACGCTTGTGCGAGAAGTCGCCAGGTTCCTTAGTAGGATCTGGTACGGTTTATGTGACCAAAGAGAGTACGATCTTATACACTGAGGAACAGTGCTCTACTTTTCAGTTTTCTGTCATCAAACTGTTTGAACCAGAAAAGTCTTTCTATAGATGAATTCAAATGTGTAATACTAATTTTCGCATCATGTAAGGATATATATTTTTATTGAATAACTCCAATTATTTGCTCTCAGCAGCGTGAAAAGAACTATTGCAAAGTCTCCATTTCGTTTTTTTACCAAGCAGTCTTTTCTATTTTAAACTTCTACTGCTTTCTCCTCCATATTCGGAACGCTTTGATAAAGTTGAACAGAGTTTCAACAAATCTGCAGTTGCAATTACTATTCGCGTATTCGTGAAAATTATTAAGCTGAACTTCATTTTTTTTTCAATTTCATTTCAACTCATTTTTTATACTATTAATCTGCACGAAGTTATTTTTCTCATTTATACTTCTAATACTGAATTTTCCATAAAAGTTTTTTCAGATTTTCACATGTGTTCCACATTGACATCGGAAGCTAATGAAAGTTAGTTTCCATTATCAAACTTAATCGGGAGTTGAAACTAACTATTAATTGGAAATTTATTATAAAATTAAAGGACGAACTGAAATACCAAATAGATATAAGTTCATTTCCTGTAATTTAAACTTTGTGGAGATTTATTTAATTTACTAAACAGTTAATTTTATTTTGAAGCAACCTTTCTTGCCGCTCTTGCTTTCAACTCACGCTTTCTTGCCAGAACGTAAATGAGTTAGCACGCGTGTATTCAAATGAGGTAGAATGAAATTAGAATTTAAGGAAAGGTTTTGAAAGGTGAATTTAGAATACCTGTGAATACCGGATATTAGTATATACGAATGCATGGTAAAATAACTTATCCAATACAAGAAGCGATTCTGGCCGGTGTAGATTATGTATTTTGGATGTTTGCATTCAACATGAGTACGATTAATTCAAATCAGCCATTTCGTATAAATGTTTGATATTTTAGTTGTGTTAATACACATATATTTATTTATTTTTATTTCATTATTCGCAATTATTTTTAAAAAAAACTGAAGACGAAAGATTTACTGTATGGATTTAGTCGAGTTTAATGTGCCATCTGTCACATTTATCATCTCCTCTCAACGACAGCAGAGCGTTTTAAAGAAATAAAAGTATTGTCCTATATCTGTCAAAGAAAGCTGTCTACTGTATCCGATTGAAAGTCATCCGTTTAATTTCCTTTCCATTTTTCCTTCTGTCACTCTGGATCGTCACTTTGCTTGATGAGTGAGGTAAAGACTCCTCAGAATCTCTTACCATATTATATTAAAATATTTTAGTGACATCCCAGCTCATACAGCTTCAACGAGGTTCTTTTGTTATGTAAAGTTGATACCAAAAAAGATTAATCGCCTTTTGTAGAGTAATGACATTACTTAAAGGATGTTATCCCCTCCTTTTTTTCTATTAGTCTTCAACAGCAGATGATGGATGAGGCACATCCCAAAAGATTGACTTCTTGGTCGGCATCCTGATAAAACACGTGAGACTTTTGTATAGTAATAAATCAAATCAATTAACTGCGCGCGTTTACAGACTTGGAAATGAAACTTCGCTATCATGTTTTCTTTTATGTTGCTCAATTAACATGTTACTGATTACTGTTCCGCTATCTAACAGGAGTTCCTAATTGCTTAGTATTTAAGAAAAATAGTGTGATACGTTTAGAAACTAAAATGATATATGAAAAATTATGCATCTGATAAATTTGACAATTCACTGTTAGTTAAATAACTGGTTATAAATGCAAAACATTCGATATGATTGAACTGGCAAATAATGTAGTGCCTGTTTAGAACTGTTCACTGTTTTAAATATTAATCCTTATTGCCTTATTACACCAAATCGTAAGGTTTTTAAACAAGAAATGTAACAATAATATATTGCTGCGTTTCTTACGCGTTTGTGGATTTGGAGTTATTAACGATGAAGAATGAAACACTTGAAGAATGAAAACACAATTTATTAGCCAGTATTTCTCAGGACAGTTCCAAAAACACGTTTACAGTCGTCGAAAAGCTACGAAAAACATGCTGAGACAATCAACAACACAGCCTTCAGGTTATCAGGCTAAGACGGTGAAGATATCTTAACAGCAAAGCACCAGAGTACAGCTCCCACCTCATTTCAGTGTTCTAAGAACTCTAGGTACTCTAGATTCTCCACGCTGCAATTAGCGATGCAGTCGACGACACACTCACGATAGACTCAACTTTGCACTTACTCGCGATACACTCAACGACCAACTGGACACTAGACTGACGATCGACTGCTACACCGCGTGCAGGCAGGGCTTATATAGCTTTTGTGCTGCTTTCGAGAACATTCTGGGCCAAACCGGTAAGAATTCGTTCCGGGATTTTTTCCATCCGTCTATGGCATATCGTCAAATGGGCGATTTCGCGCCAAATATGGCAACCCTGCCTTTCCATGCCATTTTATAGAAACCTTAAACCTGCCTTGTGGGGAAGGTATCTTACCGCGGCTGGGCATTTCGTGACAGTATGGTTAGGTTAATGATATAAGACATAAAATTTTCACCAATTCATATTTTCTGCTTATCACTGCAAATGCAATCTGATTTTAAAAAGAAACATAATCTGTGTGATAGCGTTACTAATTGAACACAATTTATTATAATTCTCTTTTTTATTTATGCGCTGTTAAATGCGCACACTTTTAAAATTTACACATATCTAATCCTCAAAAATATTTTATAATGCTATACATAGTTATATGTGTAGAAGTACAAGCACAAAAGTGCTTAATTCTAAGCATTCATGTGCTTCTTACTAAGCTAACTATAAGTGTAGTATTATGGTAACTATTAGTGTATATAACTATTAGTGTAGCTACAAGAAGAGCCTTACGATATCTCCACTATCGTAATTTATATACAAATATACAATCGGCAGTCATGGATCTATACAACATACAAATTTATCAACAATTTCATTACTTGGTTTTAAATTTATGCAAAGTAGTCTCTATTTTTTTTTTATGTTAACAGTAAAATGAAGTAATGTTTCAGACCTATAAGCACTATCTCATATACTTCATTTTCCTTTCAGGACGGGTGTGACTCCAGTACATCTGAAATAGAGGTAACTGTCACAGATATTCGCAGAGGCTCCTTGCTCAACGAGGCAATCCCTTCAGACCCAAGTCTCTTCATTCCACCTCCACCGCTGGGCACAGAAGATCCTCTTCTGAAACCAGGAGGCGCAACAATGGCCTTAGGAGTGTCTGCAGTCGACCTGACATCGGGCAAAACAAAGACAATAGTTATTCACCCACCCCACATGCACCACGAGGGAACACAGAATCAACCCTCTTTGGTAACCTTGGATGGGCATTTTTTATGACTTTAAAAAGCGTGCTTTGGGTTCCTGATAAAATCGACTCTCTAACTGTGAGCCGTCAAATCTTCCCTGTTTGCTCATATAATTTTGTGGCCTGGTCACTTTTTGATACATTTACGACGACCAAAGATTTTGTTCTCGCTTAATGTTTTACTGTTGCACGTTTGTTAAGTAACAGTTCAAGAATACTTACATAAACAACAGTTTAATATATTTCATAAATTATACTTAACATTGAATGTTTTGAAAAAGGGAAGGACGCTGAATGTCTGATGGTATGCAATGCAAGACATTTATTAACGCATTAGACAAAGGTATTTAAAGAATAAGAGTGCTTTCGCGAAAAAAAAAATATGTAGTATTTTAAATGCAGACAGTCCTACATAAAGTACTACATGCACATGATTTGGATGCTGTTGTAAATATCTTTATCAGAGTTGAATGAACGCATTAAAAAATCGGTTAGACTGTCACAAATTTTACCAAAATTAATTCTTATGCAGTGATGAAAAATGCGCAATGCGTACTTTTTCAGGAGCAGATGCCTTGGAATTTCATCAACAACACAGATGTTATCATTTCTGTCTAAATGCAGTATTGCGGTACATAATTGTTATGTAAAAAATATGTTAAAGAAAGTATTATTAAATCACTTAGATCTGGGTAGGTGGTAGTGATGGGAAACAAACAGAAATGGTAGAAATGGGAAAGAAAGAATAATAGTTAAGATGGAGACAATGCAAAATAGAAGGTTGAGGCGGTGGGAAGGAGAACCAAGCGAAAAGGCACACTGATTAGCAGGAAATAAACTGTATAACCTGTACTAAGAAATATTAGTTTTGTATGAGAAGATTACATAATGGCATGGTATGGTGTATTAATGCCTGTGTATAAGTACTGTTTTATAAATAATATAAAAATTTTAAAAAAATAATGATCTATGGCATTTGGAATATGCATTCAAATTCTATGGAATTTTATCTTTTAGTTACTGAAATCTATGCATTCAAAAATTATATCATTGCAACATATCGTATTCTGTAAGAAATATTTCGAGCTTAAAATTTACATTTTCAAAGCAAAATTCAAAGGAAAATCGCACTGAATATCAGTTGCAGAACGGAAGACATTCTGTTATGCAATCAACGTAAAGAGATTATGCTTGCTTAAACTGAAATGTTATCATTAGTTATTTAATTGTACTTTAATTCTTGTTAGCAAGTATTGGTGAAAGAAAAATAATTCTCGGTTGTTTGACGATGTTTCAGATTTTCACAGGATTAGTTCTGCTTCCGCGATTTCTCTTTCCGCGTTTTTCAAAATTTTTGCTGTTTTCGCGAAATCGGAGAGTACGGTCCCCCTCCCACAACTCCTCAGGAGATGTCACGATGAGCCATTAAGAACCGCTGGGCAGTTTCTTTGTGAATAAGTTAAGTCTTCGTTAGATTGAAGACGTGTCTTAGTTTAGGCTCCTCTGGAAATGTTTAGTTCCATTCCATTTGTAATTCTGTGTTGTTTTCACATCCTATGTTAATCAATAGGGATGTTTTAGACATTATTCGAACTATAAAGAAAAAAAACCTTTAGCCCTTCATAAAAGTTATCAGTATTGAATTCAGAATGAAAATAAGGAAAATGTAGTTTATTGGATTTGCATAAAGAATTAAAAGCTGAAAAAGCGCAATTAAGACCAAAGAAATCGTCTTTTTAGAAAAAAGAACGTCGTTTTAGAATGAAAATTTATTCTGAAAGATTTTATTATAACTCCCTTTTATGCAGAATGTTGAAAGAATATTGTTTTTTTACTTTAGGAAACAATCTTTTAGTTCATTGCCAAAATCATCGCAGAGTTTGAACATCTCTCTCTCTAGCTTCATCCATGCAAAGATCTGGAATCGTAAATATTTTTCAATTATTTCTTTTAAAAATTCTTCTTTTTAAATCTAAAAATATTTTCCTTCCTTACATTTTGGAAGAGGCCAAGATCCACTCGGCCTTCTACTTCCCTTTGGGAAGGGGGTAATGAAGATTGATGATTTCGAGGAAATAGGAAGGTTTCTGACAACCGCGGAAACAGGAATCGCGTAAAAAGGAAGACACCTTTTCACAATACCTCACTTAACGTTTTGTGGCTGCACGGTCTACAAGAATTCGAGAAATGGGTTTGAATTTTTGCATGTTATTATTTTGTCAAATTTCATACAATAAATTCTAAAGCAGTTTCTAAAAATATGGGATCGGTTTGCAATAATGTATAATACTACTCTGTTATCATTAGTAATATAATCATATTTTTGAACTTTTTGGGTGAAAATATTTTATAATTTCTATACAACTCTCACTCAATAAGTCTTCGTTAGATTGAAGACGTGTCTTAGTTTAGGCTCCTCTGGAAATGTTTAGTTCCATTCCATTTGTAATTCTGTGTTGTTTCACATCCTATGTTAATCAATAGGGATGTACTTATCAATAGGGATGATCTTCTTTTAGGATTAGAAGTACTGACTTCTAATCCTAAAAGAAGTCGAATAACACAGATTTCGAGTGAACGCATTTAAGTAAATGAACTGATGCTCTAATACATTTTCAGCATAAATAGAGAAATCAGTTTAGTTTTTAGGGATATCTTTTTTTTTTTTTTTTGTTAGTCAGGTGCTATAACAGTGTAATAAATTCCGTAGTTAATAATTTTTTCTTGTTTACAAAAATTTGTTTCTTTAAATCTTTTTCTTTCCTCACAGAAATCATAATCTAAATTCATAATAAAATTTTAAATTCCTCTACCTCTAATCTGTTACCTTCCACTTTAAAAGCATGCATTTTTTATAGTTTTATATCAAAAATTTGAATCTGAGATTTAGATTTTCAAAATCTTTTTTTGTTATGCACGCTATTTACAAAATCTGTAGTCATCCAGTTATCCAATAAATAATTCTTTACGAGACTGAGAATGATAACTATTAATATCAGGTTTTTTACATAATTTATAATTAATTTTATCCTTACTTGTAAGGAATTTCAATGCCTCTCAAATAGTTCGCGAATTTCAAATACCTTACGAATTATTCCCAATAGTTTACGAATTCCAGTGCCTCTCGTCTAGTTTCCGAAATGGGCTTATGAAAAGCCGAATCGCTATACTTCTGATCAAATTAATAATCAGTCAAAGTAAATGTTACCAGTTTCAGCTCTACACAGAAACTTCTGTTCTTGAATTTGACCTCTAGGAAATCGAGTTGGTAGCTCCGTTTGAGGCTAAAAAAGATCTTGGATTACTGCGAAGCCATTAGAACTGCTATCGAACAAAGGAGAAACATTGTATACGATGATAATTAGATGGTAAGAATCTAACGGTTTTCATAACAATGTTAACTAAGAAATGGAGCAGAAATATTTACGAATATTATTAGAAATAATAAGAAAATGTTTTCCAATTCATTAAGATATATTTATATCTTGAGAACTACATTATAAAGGTATTTTATTACCATCAATGTAATAATGCAGTCGCACATGAAAATTGCGCATAACACGATGCAACATACTGGCATGCCTAACATTAAAACTTCGGCTGCAATAGGATGATGTTACACCATACTAGACAAAAGTAAATACAAGGGTCTTAAAATGAATTTTCCTGGCCATCTGAATTCGTGGTTTAGATCTCTTGATCTTTTGATTTCTTTCTGGAAAGGTGGAAAGTATCCTCAGTCACATTTAAATTATCCTCAGTCTCTTCCCCCCTCCAGTTTTATCAGACCTACACTGCACACTTTATCCATTCCTGAACCGTTCAATAATCCCCCCCTCAAACTTATGAAGATATCTGAAATACATCACTTATATTCCCCTTCACCAAAGACAGCCCTGGCGAGCCAAACTTTTGAAGCAAAGATTGTTCTATTAGCGGAGCCACCTGGCTCATATGCTAACTGCCTCAGTGCCCGCTGTTGGTGGAAAGAAAGAAAGCTCAGACATGTGCGGAGGTTTAAATACTTTACGTTGTGATGTTCACCCTTAACTAGTATTGCTACTATGTTACAGAACTTTACACAGATTTTCATGTTTGATTGCAAGATTGCTTTAACTGTAATAGAAAAACATTTTCAAAAATAATATTTAGTTTGGCTATTTTATTGCACCATATCGGTACACATCGATAAAACGCAATAAATGGTCTTCTTATTTCTAACAATCTTTTGATAATATTGCATCATTGACGCAACATTTGCAAGAAAACTAGACGCATATGCCCCATATTATAGATTTAATGGTCCGCGCATTGTTGTTGCATCTAATTGAGAGAATTCGCTTCCCGTATGGAAGGTGAAAAGTGTGAAGAAGGAATCTGAAGTAGGATTACGGTTAATTAGTCAAGCCTAATCAAAAACTAAAAATATTTGAAGTTGTTGTCTAAAACTATTATCGATTACAGATAATTCATTTGGCAAAAACAGCCTCTGCGTAAGACGAGAAATATCTTGGACTCGATTCCTTGTCGAATGTGGATTGTCGCATGATTATGAAATCTGACTGACAAGAATTCCAGATTAAATAATTATCTAAAACACTTTTAATCAAACACGTAGATCGCTTTATTATTAACGGATAATTCCTAAAACGCAAGTAATCACGACATGGCTATCTAAAACTCTGATTAATACAAAATGCAATTACTGCATTTTTACAATTAAGCGTAGATGAGAGGAAACAAATGCGTAAACCTTGCATAAAATAAGCTTTATATCAGGTTAAAACACTGGAATTAGTGAATATTTTTCCCGAATCACAATAATTTTATACATCTTCAAATAAAATTAAACTTCGAAGGTAAAATAATGACGATTTTGTTCCTGAAAATATTTTTGTCCATCTCTAAAGTTTTATGAAGACTTAAAAATTTGAAAATTTACATCAAAAAGAAAAAAAAATTACTTATGTTTTAGGAGTTAAGGAAAATGTTTAAGTGATAAATTTGTTACACTGATGTGAACTTCAAAACCACTTACTGGGACTTTATTCAGCTAGCTGAAATTCTGTACTTTCGCACTTTTTCAAAACCTTCCTTTATCAATTGCGAAATGGAATGATAACTTTCTGCTAAAGATGTGTATTATATGCTTTGTGAAATTAATCCTTCTCTCAAAATCAAATCTTTTAATTTTTGCCGTCACAAATGGATCTTTTTCATCATCAAATTGGTTTTTTGGAATGTCTGGATTTTCCTATCGCTCAGAACCTCACTATCTATAAGCAGTTTCTCAGTAAAAATACTGATTTTTCGTAAAAATTACTTTGTCATGAATATAAACTGTTTGTGCAAATCAGTGCCTTCTTGACCAAATACGTGATATCGATAATGTATCGATTCTTATGAGCTACTGCGAAAGGTTGAGAAATGTACTCGTCGTTTCTACACAAAAATTTATTTGTACATTGTGAACGAGCATTCGATTATCTCTCTGTGTGTATGTATTATATATATATACATATATAAAAATTACCTTCATTAAAAGATGATCGTGTACAAAAAATAAAGTTCGATTTTAAACATGAAGTCTTTGTTGTTGATTATTTGTCAAAATAGTGAAAAGTGAAACAATTTAATTTGTTACTTTAAATAATTTTCATACGTTTAGTATAACTATTTAATAAATAATAATAACTTTTGCGTAACATTGCATTTGTTGAGAATTTATGTTAAATATTTCGAACAATAATTTTGATATTTTTACTCATTTTTATCACAAATCAAAGTTAAGAATTTCTTAATGGAAAATCTGCTTCTTTAATCTCTTAAATAAATGCTCTACAAAGTTAAATATAGCATTACTTTACGAAGAATTAAATTAAATATTGCTAATTAATTTATTGATGTATAGATATTGAATCATAACATAGATTTCTATGCATTTATTTCCAAACTTTTGTAAAAAATGCAGATAAAATTTATTACCAAGATACCACGAATAAATATTCAATCAGTAAATTATTTGATTTTATGATATGCTATCTATGATCTCACATGCTATCCTATCACAACGAATTTCAAAGCTAACAATTAAGTGCAGAAAGTCACTTCCGCATCAAATTTTCATGTGCTTTAACTACGGATTGTTATTTCAAACAATCAAATATATAAAACACACAATTAATAATAAGCTTAATTTTACATCGCCTAGTCAGAATAAGCCATCCTTGTAAGAATAACTAGAGTTCTGTTGGAAGTATAACTTCTACGATACATATTTTTAAAGGAAAACTCTCTGAGTTACTTTTTAATAGATTTCAGCTAAAACATATAATGACTTTACTACAAAATCAAAATATATACTCAGCGATGAATCAACAAAAATATTTCTACGGAATAATATGTAACTTAAGTACACAAAACAGAAAAACAGTTTTATCTGGTTATTCAAACTATGAGAAAAACATATTATTATGGTTATTCAAGCTCATTCATGTATTCATTTTTAATTATGCCGTGCTCTTTCCAATGACACTTATACAAATATAAAATATTAATAAGAAAACAAAAGTATGTACAGTAAAAAAAAGGTAAGGACATAAATGGTTTCGAAATAGTTACCCTTAGATGTGCATTAAAGCCGTGCAATGCCAATGGTCAACATCTACAGTGTCTCTTATATAACAGCTTTATCTTATCAACAGGAAAAGAATCTCCATTTCATCTACAACCTGCGATATGTTTGATGGAAACTTTCTTCTTTCAAAGAAGGACGCGTATTCTGAGCAACATTATGCATTACCTATTAGTCATACAAAATTAATTCATACTTTAAACAAAAAACACTTTTCATTATGAAATATTCTGTTTATCTATGTAGATTATCTCGCAAAACAAAAGACAAATTAACGAATCTTATATTTTAACTAAGCTCAAGAAAAACTAAATAATAATTTCTTTGATACCATTATTTGAAATTTTATTAATCACTGTTAACAGGACACCAGCTAACTGAAATATGTGCTTGTTTGAAAGAACAGATCCCAGTCAATTAAATGTGACCAAGGTTTTCTAGCATATTTGGGATTACTACATGCCATTTAAAGGGCATAGATGTAGCGATATGGGAGTAAAGGGGGGCATCTGTCCCTGAGCGAAGCATCTAGAGGACGCAAAATTGTCGTTACGAAATTTTAGAATTAAGTGTTTTCCATTCTTGGTAAACAGGAGGAGGTGCGAAATCTTCAATTGTCCTCAGACGCTGAAACCCTTGCTGTGACTTTAAGAGCCATTCACCACACCATCAGTGAAATACTTCACAGCGAGTATCCACATCTTAAAGTACTGTAATGCTTGTAGATAAGTAACATCAGTCAGGCATTTATAAAGATTTAAATTTTGTTACCTGCAGAAAATTTTCGTTTCACTTCATCAGGAAGTGATAATGGCAGTGCAAGATTTACGTATAGACTACATTAGCTATTAGGGCCCCTGCTTTCTTCGCAGACCCCTAAAAAAACCCTCTAAGTATCCGAAAATCATATTTGGCACTGACATATAATATCTGGACTTACAAAGTGCCCCATGTCTAAAGTAGCTTAGTGCCTTATCAAGTCTAAATCCGGCCCTGGATAATGTGGCACGGTTAAATTTGAGGCAATAAGGAAATTGCTATCAAATCTTTCTCTGTCACATTCCTAATTCACACACGGAACTCGTTTTGTAAATTAAATGTCTATGGTGATTTCTTTGAATCACAATTAATGAAAAGTTTTCGACAGCAAGTTCTGCGCATGACCTTCCAAAGAAAGGGAATAACTAATGTTAGTTTTTACTTAATGCGTGTTACAAATTTAAGTAAAAATACTTTTCTTAATTATTCCGTTTCAAGACGACTACTGCATCGACACCATGAGTAAATTACATATTTTAAAATGATCATAACATATATTGATACAGAAAATGAAAGAACTAGAAACACTTAAAGTACAAAACATTTTCATCATTGAATACATAATTTATTTGGATAAACAATTCGCAATTTTAGAAAATTTTAAACTATTTATTTTTTTTAATTTAAAAAGCATCTTTTAATAATCTGGATATTGGTATTGAAAAGTTTACTTGGAATAAGTGAACTGCAGTTTTCGATTATTGGTTAGGGCACAGATTCTTCGCACAAATTCACAAGCTTGTTCTGAGCGAAGAATTTAAGAAGATTAACAAATCCCGATTGTACATTACTTAAGAATATTAGTTAAAGCTACCAAATTCTTCAAGCAGACTGTGAAATCAAACTTCTAAAATAAAAACTGTGATATAGCTTCTTTTTTAAAAGCTACAGTTTACTTCAAAATGTCTCTAGTATGACCGTGTATGGTTATTATCACAAATGTAAAAGAATGCAATAAAATGTAAAGCATTCTTTTATATCTATACTCATATTTCCATAATATGCGCAAACAGTTTTTTCTTTTGTTTTTTAATTAACAAGCAGCTTCGCTGCCAGCCTTCGTCTGGCTTTTAAATGTACGGAAAAATAGCTGAAAGGATCACCAAACGTTAAATTTAAAAACTGCGTAGAATTTTAGTCTGCAGAACAAACTTCATAAAAACATTTATTACGTATAACAAAATCACAATGAAATAAGCAATATCCCTTAATGCAAATATTAATTATCCTAATAAATACATTAACCAACTTCCCTTTGCAAAATCTTAAGAATTCAAATGGTATAAAGGAGGTAAAGAACTTTGTTTCCTAAAAAAAAATCACTTAAAACTTTTCAATATCTTAAAAACAATGAAATGAGCAATAATAACATTAAGAATCAAAAAAAAAAAAAAAAAAAAAAAGAAAAACCAAAAAAAAAAATATAATTCCCAAGCAAAATTACCTAATAAAAAATAAAACTTCTGAAGAAAAATAGCAAACTTCAAAAAAAAAAAAAAAAAAAAAAAAAATCTGAAATGTTTCAGATTTTAAATTACGTCCAAAGGGGCGTTTTTTAAACATTTTGTGTGTTACCTTTCTTTATTAAATATCATGTTCCTCGCACTTAAACCATAAGATCCAGTGCAACAGCAATATCGCAAAATAGTTTTAAAACGAGCATATCTTTAGAATTTCCGATACAGAGACTCACGCGCTGGAGATAAAAATGTTTTTTCTGCACAACGTTGCCATTGCTCGCTTTGAAATCCTTGAGTTTGTTAATCAAAAATTCGTCAAAGTTTTAAAAAATAGGAAATCGATCATAAAACAAATTTCAAATTTCAAATTTGGTCTTCCACATGCTCATATTCGTTGGAGGATTACGTTATTCAAAATTCGATGACTCTATGTACCGTTATTTTATGACAATGCGAGAAATATACATACATTTACGCAGATTTTCATTATTTAATTTCTTCAAATATAATGCAGGACTCTAACATTTTATGGCAACAGTTTGAAAAGTGAACCGACATTTATCCGTCCGACGCAAAATGCCAAAACGAAACTAATAGTCCTTCGGGATTCAAATCCCTTTGGACTAAAAAAAAAAAAAAAAAAAATTTCAATTTTTCATTTTATTATTTTTTATAAAAATGACAATGTATGCCACTCTTAAACAGGACAGAAAAGATGAAACGTTGCCAAACCCTAATTTCTAAAAGAATGAAACTATTCAAAATGATGCGATTTCATCAAAAATCTATCAACAACAATAAGACAGGAAAATTGTTGCCAAAATCACATTTTTAAAGATGTGAGATGTGAGACGTGTACTCGGAAGCTTCATTTAAAAAGATTTTTTAAAAGTACAAAAATATTATCAGTTTTTCCAAAATTCTTTTGTAAAAGCAGTCGCAAGGATGAAAGTTTAACGTGTCCAAAAATCAAAGAAAAATAAACTGTACATTTTTAAAAATAAACTTTTTTAGAAAAAATCCCGTTTGAAAAGGTGTTAAGCTCACTTTTTGTTAAATAAATTCGTATTTAATCGATTTATTGAAACAAGAAATTTATTTTAAGTTCGTAAAATATCTAAGTGCTTACGTTTCATGACGATTTGAAAATGGAGTGTGTAGAGTAAAATCTCGCTTTCCTATAGCCCACTATGTCTCAAAATGACGCGATTTCGTCACAAAACATAAAATTAAAAAAAAATTCGAATTCGAATTTCGAAAAAATCGCTTCGAGGTGCACTGGCTCTTGTCTAGATACACCTATGTAGCAAATTTTGTAGCCGTGTGTCTATTAGCTTACGCGCAGCGCGAACGAAAGACACACACATACAGACAGACTCTTTCTTTTATTATATGTAGAAATGAGCTAGAAATCTATTCTCCTAAGTGAAGAAGCTCATCTTAGAATATCTAAATTTAACTGTGTCTAAGAGCCTTTACAGCAGATCAGTACTGAATCCACTTCGCTTACTCACCAGTAGCTCATCAGTTCAAATAAATAATTTAGTTTAAAATAGCCCATTCTTATAATACGAAATAAGAATTTTCCTTAAGCACACTCGTAGTCATTTTGTTAGAAGATCAAATAGTTAGTAATTTCAGAAATATATTTAATTCGTCCTCTCTCA